CGAGTCCGAGAAAAATAAAAGCCGTTATTACTGCTTCGGATATTCACCAACGAAGAACTAATGGTCGAGAAGGTGATCCTCAACGTCACATTGGGTCGCAGCGATCACGCAGCACTACCCTTTGTAAGCCTTTGCTATGCAGAATATCCCGTGGAAACTACCGGCACAGCGAGAACTTATGTAGGCTACGACATATTAGCTAGACTAGGTGAGACAGCCAACTGGACATTTCTAGCAGACGAGGTACCAGCTAGGGCATGGGGACATTTCGTCGGCCAATTTAACTCTTTGGTTGCGGAAGCATCAAAGACCAGGACCTTCCGCACGAAAAGCGTAGTCTCGTTTCTGCGAAGCAGGGCACGCTAGTATATAGCGGTGCGAAACTCAGTCTAATATATTTACAAACCTTCCCCGAGCACCGACAACTTGACGGCCTATGCGATCCAACGTAAACACTGTACTCAGCTTGTTCGCGAGAATAGTATGGTGTACCAGCAGCAGTTAGCAGTGTGTAAGGCCTCAGATCACAAGCTTCTATATCAACATGTCAACCGTCTACCTAAGTTGAAACGGGGAATTCATCCTGTTCAAACAATGGACGGACTCACACGCACACCGAAGGAGGCGGCAAGTACCCTGCGCCTACAATAAGCAGCAACATTTCAGTGTGATCATTGGCCACGTAGTCCTATGACAACTATTGTCTCACTCTGAAAACTCACTCGTATATCCTGTACAGCAGATGCCGTACTAAAGAAGCTTTTGAGCATGCTCAAGCGCAGCTCATCTGTAGTTGATAATTTGCACACGAACTCGCTAACAGCGGTAGGAAAGAGCTTAGCAGAGCAGTTGGCTCGGTTCTTTTAACACTGTTTCGGAAAAATGTACGTGCCCGACATGTGGAAACACGGGATGATTACTCCCATTCACAAAGGAGGTAGTCGTCCCAATCCAGCCAACTGTCGTCCCATAATCTTACTACCGGTTCTTTCAAATGTCATGGAAGCTATTATTTCTGATGCGCTAGCGGCCTACTTGGAAGCATTTAAATGCTCCGTACAGTAACAGCGTGGTTTCCAACGAAATCGCTCGTGCACTATAAATCTACTAATACCCCGATCCAGCCGGACTGAATCAGTAGACTTTGACACAGGAGTTGAAGCAGTCTTTCTCGACTTCTCAAAGGCATTCGACTGGTTATACTTTAACATTCTGCTCTTCAAAATCCAGACCTTCAGTATTGGTGATTCTTTCGTAGAATGGAGCATAAGCTTTCTTCTACACCGGCGTCTGAATGTACCTCTGCGTGAGTCGCTGTCAGATCCCATCCGAGTTGAATGCGGCGTACCACAAGGATCGGTATAGGACCGCGATTTATTTCTTACGTATGCTAACGATATCAAACTCCACATCAGCTCGAGCTACCTTCTTGAGGCCGATGACATCAAGGTGTGGTGGGCCATAAATGCACCAAGTGATATCACAGTGCTACAAGCTCATCTGAATTGGGTATACTCTTTGCCAATCCAGAGTCTACTTCCTTTCAATGTGGACAAATGTAGAGTGCTGTATCTATAGCACAATTTGGTGTACTCCTACAAACTCGACAACCAGGAGCTTTAAACGTGTTCTGGCGAGAAGGATCTAGGAGTTTTTGTCCAGGTCGACCTTGGACCTTGGAAGTAGTCTGCAAAGGTGTCTAGGTGGGGCATCCAACATGTGGGCCTCCTGAAGCGTGCAATTGGACATTTCGACCCTTCGAACTTTCCACAACTGCTCGGCTCATACATACGGCCATATGTGGAATACGCAATACAAGTATGACAACAATGACTGGGGAGAGATCTCACCGCCTTGGAGATACCCCATGCCTGGCAACCAAGAATGTCAAGCGTCTGTAGAATTTGCCGTTGGAACGAAGGCTAAAATTGCTCGAGGAATTCAGCGGACAGTATCATCGATTGCGGTAGGACCTCATTTTGACTTTCCAGATTTTGTGTGATCCCAATCACATGCCGCTACTTACTAGAGCTTAGTCACAGCACCAATTTAAGAGGCCACCATCTCAAACTGGCGCAGCAGCACAGTCGTTTGGAATGCCATCGGAATTTCTTTTCTGCACGCATTTGCCGTACGTGGGATGCCTTCCGGAATCTGTCATAAGTGCTCACGCGCTGGCAGAGTTCAAAGCCCGAGTTGACAGTGCACTTATTTCGCTGCACCATCTTACATGACCCATTACCCATGGATAAGCACAAGTGTCTGTAGGAAATTTCATTGGCTGTCCCACGTTTTTCACCTCCTGTATGTGTACACCAGGGCGAGACACGAGTTTTATCAACAGCCAATATGCCGTCATTCCTTATGGATTTACCTTGGGTTTACAGTCTAAAGTAAGTATACTTCCTTGAGTTCACTGGTGTAAGCACAATCATGCTAACAATTCTTTATATTTTGAAGTTTCACCATAACCATCTTACCGGACTATTTATGCATTAGTTTTCTTACCCATATAAAACCATTATTCCATTGTTCCAAAGCATAAGAAAACAAAAGGGACCTTTATGTATTCAGCAGTCGAACGTTATGCCACTATGTGAGGAAATTAATTCCCGATAGCACGTAACCTCATACTTTTGACTGCCGTACGATACGGATTAAAGCGCAGTAGCAAAATGGGTCCAAAAGAATGTGGTTGCGTTAAACCCGGAACTTTTGTGTCTTAGGTGCTTTGATAAACCGCGTCACATGGGGTAGAAATTTCACTCACAGCTACCGTGCATTCGTATGTTCACATACGCCCCTGACATGTCAACAGCACGTTTGAAAAATGCCGTTTGTTACGTTTTCTGAGCTGATTAGAAAGTGTATCGAAGCAGTTTCGGAGCTTGTCAAAGTTACCTTAGTGTTTTGGCTCGACAATGACGACACTACGCACATATTACGCCACCAGTATTGTCTATGGAAGATGGTACTTTGGACACGCTTTTGTCTATTACGCTAGAAGGAGGTTTAGTGTATACTACTGATGTAACGAAAAGCATGAGGTTCTACAGCAATGACTTTGCTTTGCTTAGCTTTGCCGACAGCCGAAGTTGTAGATGGACTTCGAAACCTCCCCATGCGATTTGATGAATCAGAGGGAATTGGTAGTTCCAAACTATAGTACCTCTATTAAGCCATCGGAGGTCGTCTATCAGATTTTCATGGTCCCTTGTTTTCTAATGTCTAGTTAAAAGCTGTTGCCAACTAAGATGTAGAAGCTTTGAACATTGCATTTCTTTTAGCTGAAGGTTAGCACAATAAAAATATTACTCACAGCCATGCTCAAAAAGCATGGATTGCACAACTGCAATTGTAGAACCATGTACTTAGTCCATTCGGTGATTTTCAACAATGAGCACAATAAATTGCGGCGTCGTGCACTGACGAGCAAGCGGAAAACACATATAATTCTTTACATTTCGGCAGATATTTGAATCAACTGTGCAGCCCAACTTTCTGTCACCAAAAAATGAGTGCAGTTGTTACACTTGACGCAAATGGTCCAATGCGCTGCTGCAGAAATTACTGCCTCATAAACAGCACATATTATGATTACTAAAATTGTGAGATTGTCGTTATAATAATCGTGTATGGTTCTCGTTTTGTCGAGATGGTACGGTGTAATTTCTAATTAGTCGCTGCACCAAAGCCGCACGTGCATTATCGATACGCTGAAAAACCTAAGCAAATCAACAGGAGACGCTCCGAAGGATGAGTATTTTTGGAAACTCATCAGCTACCTGTTAGTCAAATAAAAAATGAATGAATGAAAAATATTAGGTACATCCACGCTCTGCATTCTAATTAGAACAAAGAAAAGAGGACAAACTAAATTTTTCGAATTATCATCGTTTATGCATCCTGTGGTCGTTCCATTTTGTTCACATCACAAGCGAAAATCCGAGTGGATAGGGAGATACACTGGCGCAAAATCCGATATGATTCACGGTCTGTTCAACTATCAACCGAGCACTATGTGTCAGCCTACTAACCGGATTTCATCTCTTCCGTTTTTCGTGCATAATGTTCCCGTGACATCAAACAAACACTTTTTATCCATTAAGGTAGGGGCATTGGCCAACTCATCTACTGGTTAATATGAATCCCACCGGATTACGGTTTGCGACCGCGGGTAGACACTTGATTTCGTGTGACTTTTCCACTGGCAGCGTGGTGGCGGGTAAGTGAAAAACGCCGTTCGATGAGAAATCCAGACAGTTTTTGTGCTCGTTGTTATTCGGCGCAGTAAAGGGTGGAATGGTTAGAGGAACTTATATCATCATTCAAATCACTAAAGAATGTACGTTGCATCAGCAAGTCTATTGGGTCAATGTACTAAATTTGTCTTCCGTGCTGACGAGGGTAGGAAAGAACAAACCCAAAGTTCACTCCGTTTCTCCGATGATATCAGTGGTGTGGCTTATCATCCGCATAACCCGAATTAAACTCTAGTTTTGAAAATGTCCTTCAACTAATTGCTACTTTCTACTGCGCACCTAAGCACTGGTTCAGTTATATGAACTTTTACCAAGGCCACAAAAATGACCTCGAATGACAGCAAAATTGTTGCTTGATTGCGACCCAAGTTTGTTTGTCGAATTACTTGGGTCCTAACACTACCGGAAGAGAAATGGATTAGTCAACTCTCTATGTCTAAATGTGTATATAGCGTTCCCCTTAGTTACACTGCTGAACATATGGGGCATCTGGTTCACAACTCGTATTACACTAGCTTCTGTCCATAGTTCGAATCTAGCACCATAGAATACATAGACTTCAAACTGTTTCAGCGCAATTCTTGTCCCATCGATATTGCTAATGGAATTCCCCTGGACGCTACTCCACCCAATATTACACTACTCCGGCTCTAGTGGGCAGTTTGGAAGTGCAGTGTAATAAGTCACATTAAACCAACATATTGGCAACCTCGGGTTTGATAATGCATAAACAGTTATCACCAAGAAACAGTATATTAAAAAATATTACAGTATTATAGAAAAATTCAAGCAGCCCCTTCCTCAATTGAGTTTATGTGTACAGATGAATGAGAAGTAGTACACTTTCTCTCGTTCCACAGTGGACCAGAAGCATGTGTTTGTATGGGGATTCGTGCATCGCGGTCAACGATGGAATGGTTCGTTACCGCAGTATTTTGACACCTGTAAGTTTCAACTCGGTTTACAGGAGAGAGTACTTGTAACTTCGAATGCACTGCGCTCTTTGACACATCTGGTTTCCTGTCATAGTTTAACGATTTCCAACAACCATCTCGAAGGCCCAAATCGAGGAAGAAAAGAAGACATGGAAGAAGTAATCCAGAGCTTGCATAGGCCCACCACCGAAAATCGGCTATACGATTTGCAGTGACTTGAATAAGACAACGACTGACCTGTCTCGGCAGCTGACTGTCTAGGGCAGCAGTCAGTTCCGGGAACATGAGAATGGTTGGGTTGAGATCTCGCACAACCGAAGTGAGTGGAATGGGCTGACATAGTCCATGGGCAAGAGTGGATAAAATATATGGAGACCAGGTGCCCACGGCGATTATACAACTAACCAAATTTATTGCGACTGCTAGCTGTTCCCCATTGTAAGCGGTTAACCACAAAGGTGTGAAAGGAAACAGACACTCTTGCATCACTTCATCCTTAGGCTGCGAATGCAAAGCGGTACAGTTCTGTCTCCTCTGCTCTTTTACGCCGCGTGTCTTCGGTGACAGTCTACTTTGCTCCGTTTCTGCACTGACCGCATCAGTTGGGAAATTCGGTGCGGGCTGTGATAAGGTAGTGTATATCACTTCACTGTTGTTCCTGTCCATAGACGCTATCTCAACCTCTTTGTGGACCTCCGAGTGATTAGACATGAAGTCTGTTCCTGGTTGAGCTAACGGATGGGTGCTTGTCGAGTTGGAATCAGTCTTCGAACGTTGATGTAATACATCTGTGTTTGTTTGAGGGGTGCTAACTTCTGCTCCGCTGAGTAATCCTTCATCTATAGATACATTTATTAACCCGTGTGCAGGACACTCGTAGAATGAGGTGTGCATAAAATTGTGATTAGTCCGTGGGTCGATTGGATGCAATTCAAGTAACGCGTTGGACGGTAAGAGCATGTGTGGCATACAAGCCTGACAAGTTGGTACATTCGCACTGTCATTAGGCTGATCAACGTTAGCGACGGAATTATGTCCCACGGTAAGCGAATGGTTCCTTGTCATATTTTGTCTTGTATACTCTCTGTTAGTCAGCGAATGATAAAGATACCTTGAAGAAAAGGGGACGAGAGTGAATGCGGCTGCTGCTGATCTGTCCACATCGGAATTTGGATCAATTCGTAGTCCGGATAGTGGAACGTTCACTTCTGAAGCAAAAGCAGAGGTAGCCTCATCACACTGTCTACTCTGTCTAGACAAAACGGAAAAGGGATTCACTGAATTGAAGGCACTGTTGTTCTGCCTACAATCTGTCTCAAACATGAACGGTTTTCGAACCTTTAACAAGGACTGAAGTGCATCCGCAGGATAAGACCTTAATCTTCGTAGACACCTCAGCTGTAGACCTACCAGTACAATGCAAGCTAACAGTGGCAGTGCATAGGCAATAACTGTCCTGATGATAAGAAAGTTTGGGTCTGGCAATAAGCAAGTTACATGAAGTCCTAATTTTGTCCCTGGGTGAACACTTTGTTCAGTGCCGCGATGCAGTCTGACCTGTTGCTTGTCGCTCAAAGCCAGTTGACCAACCGCTTGTACTACAGCTACTAACCACGGTGAGCCTATTTTGAGCCAAAGAGCCGGTTTCCGCCTTGCGGATGTCAGATAAAATTTTGGGTTTCGTAATCGTAGGTACGCGTCGAGACTGGAGAAAAATGTTTGCAGAAAGGTGAGATTGCAGAAAAGGGTATCCAAGTACGTTGAGTACAGGCAGTAGATGTGTACAAAGGAATCCATGTTTGTTGACCCTAAAATTAAGAGTAATAAATAAAGTGGGTTATCGTTCGCTTGTCTGTTCAGGACAGCAGCGTTAATTAACCATCAATCGCTCATGGAAGATGGTGTCATAAATCAGACAACACAACAGCGTGCTGCTTTTCATAACAAATAATTGTCTGTTTAATATCTTACACATCAGCAAAAATTTAACATCTATTCATTTTCAGGATGTTACTTATTGAAATGCACAAACGTAAATCCGTCTGTTAGTCCGATAATTGATGTCAAACCGCAAGCCGGCGGTAGATTTATTCCTACCAGAATTGCACTTCAACAGTTGTCGTCTACATCATCCATGTCTATCACACCAGATGGCTTTAGCCTGATCTCACCTTTATAAATCTTGTTCCAGGGTTGGTACCAAAAATTTTGCATGAATGATGTAACTGGATGATGTTACTGCGTGGCACATGAACATGGTAAAAAATGTGTGGCATCATTTAAGCTGCTAATGAAGCGTCCCGAACAATGACAAGTTGAAATCCAAGAGCAGTTCATGTACGTGCAATGAGTTGGGAGCCCCGAAGTTCAGAGTAAAAACCGGACCGATTACCATGCGATAAATAAGGCAAGACACATCACAAAAGCAGTCATAAGCTCTACCACAAAATCATGGCTAGGCAATACCACTTCTACCATGTCGCAGACATGATTTGGTCGATGTGCAATTGTGACCTACACAAGCTGGGATGAATCAGTCGATTCCAAATTGGGGGTTGTCATGTACATGAACTTCTCTAGAGCCTTACACTTTTCGTAACCGCTGGCCTTGTCTTAGGTTGGCTAAGTGAATCACTCATCCAACGTCAGCTGAGTGAGAGCGATTGCAGCGCCATTTCATACCATATCGAAATCTACCGTGGGGTACCCCAATATCCAGAGTTGGACCACTATCCGTAGTCCTTATTAACGAACTTGGAAGTTAACTTTAATCGAATCTCTTACTAATTGTTGCAAATCTTAAGATCTGGCATAACAATAAGACAGTGGACGATCGCACGACCCTGCAGAGAGATTTCAACAAACTCACCCGAAAAGATGCTCCAGTTTGACTTTGCGAAATGCAAAGTTTTGAGCAAAATCAATAAGTGCACCCATGAATATCGAATAGGGGCACATCAATTGTAACTCGCTCTAGAGAAGATGTCGAAGTTCTTGCGCAGGAAGAAGTCGGGTGCTTAAAAAGGCAGAAAAAGCATCGAGCAAATTCGCTGGCTACAGCAGGCGTTCAGAGAAATGGAGCTGGATGAAAACGTGAGACATCTTGTAGGATATTTCTTTTAAGCCTGGCTTCCCTGGCTTAAAGGCGACACAAAAGCACTTGAAGCCTCACAACATAGAACGATCACAATGTTTAGGGTCTTGCGTCACCTCCGCCTGTCGATTTGGACTGCAAGCCCAAGGTGTACCTAATACTGGCGAACCCCCATCACGCATGTCGCGATGTGCCACAAATGTCCGTTCAACAACACTGTGATGAGGCAGATGTGTCTTGATACCGAATAAAGTCACAGCCCATGATTTCACACTGGCAAGTTGACAAGCGTCACATTTCTCCATATTTAAACGTTCCTTACACTGATACTTCTACATTAGCATTTGCTGTCGTCACTTTTCTCTACTATTTCATACATATACTGTCATCCCTTTTTCTAGGATTTCAAGGTTGATCTTTTCTTTACTTACACATGAACTCAGTCTAGCATCACAAATCTCTCGATCTTGCTTTTCACTTATCTTCTATTCAAGCATCCGGGGTCCTTGATCTATTATTGGCTGATGTATTACTGCAATATATGGACGACTGATTATGTCCTTACAAAGGGGTCCCGATCTCACGACAGTCCAAGTAATCCTTTTACATTTGCATCATTGTAGAGTTTCAACCATGAACGTTTGAAAAAGTTTCAACTCTCTCGGATAAAATTGCCTTAAAATGTTTGTACGGTTGGACCCACCTGATCATGCTTCCCTAAGCTTGCCTCGAATAGTCCAAAATAAATATCTATTTATTTATTAAGCCCCTAGTGTGCCGGGCCAAGCCGGCCACGCACTACGGTCGATCTGATTCTCAACAAAATGTTTTCTGCCTTCGCGTGTCCCGACGATGGGAAGCTCAGCTAATGTATCTGGTTTTGCAACCAAGCTAACACGCTTCAGAAAACGATTAGACGATACCCTACCACCTTTGTACTATAAGCTATAGTCAGCTTAATTCAGAAGCGAAACTACTCGTGGCCCATTAGCAGACTCCGTATGGTAGCTTTGAGTAAATCGCATCTATGTTCATTTGTATAGCTTACTGAGTCATTCAGCATCCGAATTTTCGATTTTCCTGCTATGTTTACGTTTGCTTTTGTATTCCTCACTCTGAGCATTCTACGGGACTTCGTTTACCAGTTATAAAACCTATTTTACTGGTCGTTGTGTATACCGCCTAGAAACATTGATTTTTGAAACCAGTAGTTCGGAATTGCTTGCAGAGGGCTATCTTATTCGTTGATACAATGACTATCACATTGAGCTGCGGCTGCATGTGGACTGCATCTCCTATCATCTTCACCAACCGCTTCATCGGAGGTGAACACTACAAGCAGTAATTTCTTCGATAGAAAAGGCCCATGACCCAGTGACCTCAGGATCTAAATATACCGCGACTAGTAGTTTCGTCCGAGTTTATGGTGAAGCAACCGCATGTTACGCTCCGCATTTGTGAGTAGGGAAAAAATATCAATCATCATCTTGAAAATTAATTTCAAGAACATTGTTCCCACAATTCACTTTAACTATGGCCCTTTGTGAATTTAAAGTCAGTAGGTGTGTTCAAGCTTGAATTCTGCGACCTAAACAGCTATCATCCGAAAATGGTTCCAGTCATATCTGTACAAGCTCTACTTTAAACAATCGAATTAAAATACGAAATACTCCATTAAGCAGCTAACGTCTTTTCCTTTTTGCTTGCAAGAAAACGTAAGGGCTTATGGTTTATGAATATGCTATACATTCATGCAGCGTTGTAGTTCGTAGGGCAGTGCTAATGGTGTTGGGCGGAATCGCGTGGACAGAGGCCGCACATTTGGAAATATTTGTCAAGCTACAGTTGTGTTTCTCTCAACATCTCGTTCGGTTAAGAGATGGAATGGAAATGTGACAGTTCCCACTTTTGAGCGGATGCAAATACTGTAGAGCGAACCTGCTACCCTTTTCACAATTCGCAGCGGAAGAATTTTACTGCAACATCTCTCCACCATCAGCAGTAGAACTACACAGTAAGGATGATAGCAAAGCCTGGTTCATAATTGTTGTTTTTCCATAGTGGGTGTCGTCCAATAGAGTTGTGTGACGAAATGAACATTTAGAGTGACTAGTTGCAAAGCAGTATTGATGTTGATACCCAAGCGTTGTTGATGTCTGTACCCGATTACATATCTATGCAGACTTGGCGAAAGCCGTTTGTGTTCTACAACCTAGAATTCTGTCGATTTAACTACGGCTATCCCCATTTGCTTATACTGCGATTAATGGCAGTCACTTCCAATGATTCCTTAACTCTCCAAGCTCTGTGACTTCAAAAGTGAAATAGTGGTTATTAGTCAAAATAACGTATCTCGCCTAACCACTTTGGAAACCGCCAATGACTCCCGAATGAAACGCGTCAATGCCAACTAAGCGCTCATATATGGGGCAATGCTCGCTACTGTTGGGAAACTTTCGACTGGAAGCAGTAGAACAACATGCTTTCTCTGTCCCCTACAATTTCCCCTTTCGCAATAGCCAGAGTGCATCCCCCAGAATTTGAGATGTGTTTGCTTGAACCTGTCACAACAAAAGCAGTCATAGTTAAAACTACAGAGGCATGAGCACTAACTATTAAATCTTTACGATTATTTTGACTGTGGCGGTAAACTTTGTTTACGCCTGGATTTAGCGCTTTTCACACCGCAGGCCATCAGTTAGAGGCTTACTCATCAGATTTCCCTCTCCTCCCCTGGCTAATAGTGGAGGCGATACGGTACTAGTGATTTTTAGCTATGGAAGTACGAACTTCGGAAAGTCGCGTGGTAGTAACCAACAACCTATTTTCAACTATGCAGGTTGTTTCTGCAAAGAAATATGGTCGTAATTATCCACTTTTAATTAATCCACAACTGATAAAAATATAGTACATACTATGGTATTTTGACAGCTTGTAACTGCAGAAAATGAAAAGGATGTACTCTGTATCTGGATGACAGAATTTGTGACTCAAGAGGTGGTCACTGCCTGCATGTGGCTGGCTATAAGTCGGATTTCCTAGGTACTTTAGCCTATTCATTAATGCTTTCCGCTTAACTATTAAAACCTCAGGCACCCAGTAATAACAAGGTGTTGTATCTTACTAATGGCAGTATACTAAATTCAATTCAAATATAATTCTGATGGAATGTTTAGGTATTTATAACCAATAGATAATCACACCGAATTTTAACTCATCTACTCAGTTGTGCCGTCATTCGAAGAGGCGGTAGGCGGCAATCTAACTTGCACCTGTCAAAACACGAATCACTAATTCACCGGCGAAGAATCATGCCTTCTCGGCCCGATCATTCCGCATACCGGTTATAGATAATGATCTCTTATTTTTCAGGACAAAATTCGCGGATGATCGAATTTCAGTCCAATGATCCCGTGGCCAATAGACAATTCTCATAGGATTCAGTAGTGAAGGATTGATTGACAGGTCAAGCTAACTTTTAGTGCCCCGCTTTCTCCGCGTGCATACCACTTCGGTAATTTGCGGCTGCAGACAATAGTTCTATTCTAGCGAATTCGACTGAACCTCAGTGGTGTAAATTGTGTACAACATGGTCGGACAGATACACCCCGCTGTTAAGGGATTTGGTTAATAATCGCACAAAGCTGTCATTCATCTGCTAGTGTAGCCATGTGACAAAAATTATGCGTTTTAGGCTGCCATTGTTGGACAAAACCTAATCTCTTCAATCGAGTGTGCTAGCGAAAAACGCCGGCTGTAATTCTCCTATAGATGCAACATTCAGTAAACTCCAGGACGCATGTGGCCACTAGCTGTGAACCCGTCTATCATTATTACCTGCTACTTTCAAAATTAAGCTCTTTAAACCCAGCTAATTAGTTTAGCTAAACAAACGTATGACCTGATGGGAATATAACGCTAAGAGCCATTTTGTATTCACTGATTGGAAGTAAGTTTTAGTCAAAAGCATAAACTGACGCTTATTTATCTGTGCGGTGTATTTTAATGGGGGAAAAGCAAGACCAGTTGTTTGAAGGTAATTTACTTCTTGATTGACTCTTTGAGGGTATTTGATCATGACGAAGTACAAAATGAAAGAGTGAACCCCAAACTTGTTGCCATATGTCCATCGGTCTTAACTTCTTATTCTAATATTGTTAGGTTCTGCGACACCATCTTACACACAGCTCAACATCCAGAGATTCGATTGAGTAAAGTATGGTTAAAAGGATATCCTATCCATCCAACTTAACGGTCGAAGACTGTCGTTGGTTAAATCATCATGCACTGAAGTCCGCATATGAAAATGGTGATAAAATGCATCTTATGAGCGTCAAGCAGTAAGACAACCCTACGTCTTGCGAGCGGTTGTTATTTAGAAATGTTTTTAATCAGTCGCGGTTGGGTCCGTGTTTAAATCATTCGTAAGTTGCCACCTTTGCTTTCTAATATCTCACATTCTAGGACAACCACACTAAACATGTGTAGCTGATATAGCACATTCACAGCGTGATCTGGAAGCCCAAACGGTTTTAAACGAGCAACTTCACCTGGTGCTACTATGTTATGCCGCTACACTATGTCCTGTAAAGAACGGATTAGAAGTCGACTCCGAATGCCTAAAATTCTTGAAGGCGCTCACCCATTTGATCAGTGTATTCTTGTCCACAAGCTTCAGAATTACGTCACAGTTGCTCCTGTTCTGGCTTGAATGGACAACTCACTACTGTAAGTTTTTGAATGCGAGCATTCATAATCTATCATCATGTCCTGTCGAAGCACAATGTGTTGAATCTCCAGGCTCAGTAGTCGAAGCACACCTAATACATATCTACAAAAAACCGTCGCGAGTACGATTGTCTCACAGTTTCTAGCCTTTATTGATTGCTCAAAAATATGACATAGTTTCAAGATACTGGGTAATCACGCGCAACAGCAAAACCAACTAGAGGAGTCTCACATTTAGTCAGGTGAGAATACGCAACAGTCCAGTGTTACCAAATGCACAGTTGAGGAATACCCCGTCAGAATGCAAATGTGTAATGTCAAAGCTGCAGCGCATCTCTAATAGCAGTCATATCGGAGAGGTAATACAGGATGACTATGGGTTATCGAAGTAGGCCAAGAAAAGCAAGATGATTAGCGGGCCACTTCTTACGGAAGTAATGTTGGCGGTATGACACTTCTAAACTTCCATGGATGATGGTAGGAGGTATGAAGCCTGTCTGGCTTAAGTACTATCGGACCGGAACTGATATCATGCACTTTCTGGCAGCTGAGAAAAGTACTGGATTAAGTTACCCTACATACCAGCTTAGGCTAGAAATCCGAGAATATATAGCAGACTTTAACAACATCTGCTTGACAATCTGATTAAGGACACGGTTGACTGCATCCAGTTCCGGATTTCCTGTCACTGTGACCTCCATACGACAGACACGGGACACCTGCGCCTACGGAGGGAGCATGGGTGGTTTGCGCTGCAACACCCACAGCTTCATCCACACACCCATATCCAGTGTAAACCCGAAGGAATAAGATCGGGATGCAAGTGGGTGGTAGTCAAGTTTCATCAACAGAGCCGGCCCACACTCTTTCACAGACAAACACAAGCACGTTCTATTTGGGAATCAAGCGCACACAATGCGGTGGCAAGAACGTAGTCTGCTCCACACTGAGTGCGTGGAACCACTCTTCGAGTCTAGTACGTCCACAAGGACCCCAGAAACGACCAACTGTCTCCTGGAGCCAGTATGGACGAGGTAGTGGGTAATAGACAGGTAGACACCTTGTCAACATGCATATCAAGCGCAGCCACACCGGAGATATCAACCATCAGCCAATCACTTGAAATGACGATATCAAGTAAAATAAATCGAACAATGTATACAGATATGCCAACATAGCTATTTAATAAATGAGCATTTGAAATAAATTGGTTGCTAAAAAATCAGCTATAGTTTTAAGACGTCAGAAATATATCTTAAGAAAATGTCAACCTCGCGAAAATCTTATCGAAGTTAACTACAATTAACTTGAGCGATGTGTGCTAGTTTATAGAAGATAGCTCACGTAGGCAATAAGGAGACAATATAGCAAACCCACCACCTGAGATAAAGGTACCCAGCATATAAGCACGCTGTTAGTGAATTGAATGTAGCGTACCAAGAAAAGCTGCGCCGGTTCTGTCTACGTTCTCTACAGGACCAGTCGTCGATTTGGTGGTGGCGCCGAGTGGCCTTGCTCATGGCTCGTTAGGCCTGCCTGACTCAGGCACTCACGACCGCATGTGATACAGCACCACACGCTGGATGTCCATGAAGTACAACCCATCGACGTCTGAGTAAGGAAATAGGAGTCCGCTGAAAGCCATAGCTATGCATGTCCTATCATTTTGGAAGCATCAAAAATTCAAAATTAGGTGTCAGGATTTTAAATTTGACACAACCACAATTCGCTACAATGTCAGCTAAATTTACGTTACCCGCAGTATTTTGTTCCCAAACTTAACGCTACTAAAAAGACGGCTTGGCGATATAACACGGCCGTATTGTGTGAAGATTGGGACCATCGATGAAGGTCATTAGGCTAACCATGCGATGTGCCTATTGTCCAAGCAAACGAGTTTATACATGTGTTAACTTCACGCCTAGTGAATTCTGTAATAATCGTTATTTATTCGCCCATATTTTATCTTATAATAAGCAGTAAAAATCCATTTAGCCGAACGTGGTTTGCAGTTCTTGGAATTGCAGCAAACGTTGAAAACTAGTGTGATCACACGCGCTAATGGGGAAATCCCTAACGAAATTAATGAATCCATGAATCTACACATGTTTCTATCTGAAACATGGCCGATAGTCAGGCAATTAAATTACTTCCATCCGATATTTTTATTTTATATACCACATACCCATCATCCTGCTGCTGGGTGAATACACCATCAATTGTCAAAACAGTCCATGGTGAATCCTTGTGCTTACTATTTAAATGCAATTCTGTGATTCATCAGCCGTCTGAACCACGCTGAAGTGAATGAGGTATTGTGTGCGTGAAAACTACATTTCGCCTAATAGAAGCCAGATCAGTCATTTGAAATTCTCAATTGTGTCTACTCATCCTTAGCTGAGTGGACGAAATGAGTATCTGTCCGGAATTCACTAGCACAAGTGCAGCTGTAAAAACCAAATACTCTAAAACTTTCGAGATAAATATGAATGTGGCAACGAGATAGTTCCTTCAGCCGAGTAGCAAAGTGCGCCAAAAAGAAGCATATAACCGATCAGTTTTCAACATATCGTCTGATAATCGTTCAATGCTACTGGTTATAGGCTTGGTAAAAGCTTTGTTGTGCAACTAATAAAAAACAAGCATGAATGTTGTGTAATCTTCGTACTGAAACTTGCCAAATATGATTCCCACTACTCCGGCGGGTAAATTCAGTGTCACGTGTAACAGAGCTGCGATGGCTTGAGAACCAATAAAGAAGTACGCCACTGGGACTATGTGCCCTGTGCAAGCTGTCTGCAATGCTCCGCCAAGGAGGATGCAATTGGCCAACCATGTGCCGACCACCAAGAATCCTGTTAGACCAACGGGGACCCAGTACTGATAATATGATCCAAGTGAGGATTGTCGCAAGTAGCTCGACTGCTGAGCATATGAGGTAGTTATGTTGGCAAGGTCACGCAACATATCCTCTGGTAACACATGCATTGTCCACTTTCAGATCATGATTCAGTGAAAGGTACAGAACTTGGTGGTTTCTGCGTAAATTGCTCCAGTTGTTTGGCTAGCTACAAGTAGTTGGTTCACAATTTAATACGCGCAATCCATCCCCAAGTAATTTAATGAATGCAACGGTGCGCAACGCACACGCAACGGAATGGCGCTTCCGTGGCAGATTCCTTGTGATGGTGTGTCTGTTCCGACACACCTGACCAATCAACTGGTTAGCTAGAGTTGTCCTTGTTGGACCGTCTCCTACATTAGCGGATGCGTTGCGGGCACTGGGGCAATGGCTCAGTGTGCATGTTTGTTGTTTGTTCTGTTCATCGCATTTTATAAATAAGAACTTCCAAACTTCTGGGGCTGCTAAGGTTTTCCACATTCACTTTGTAACTAATTAAATAAATAACGTTTTACTCTCGACAATGCGTGATCGGTAAATGTAAATAACAGTACAAGATTCGAATTCTTGGAATATACTTGGAACCGATCGCGTAGTCATGAGTTCAGTTAGGTTCGGAAACAATCGGTTTAACAGTTTAACAGTGGCATATGAATCTATGTGCTAGGTGTTTAGGAATATTTGTTGAAATGAATGTACTTGGCTGTGTTACTTTAATTTGTAAACATAACAAAGTATTTCTGAGTATATTTTTGGTCGGGCTTCAGCGTGCGGAGAGGAGTGAAAGGAACTCTTCGTATTGGATGACTAACATCGGTGGATTGGATAAGATCATCCGGATACGTAAGAGGCAGTGTTAGTGGCAAATCACATTTGCCCCTTTAGCGTTGTGAAACATACGTTTGTGAAATTTTATGCGGAAAAGTTTGCCAGGCGTAAACACGTCATGTCCTGGTACCGTACCGCAGACTGCAAGCTTGTCTTTGCGCTTCTGCCCAACGTAGCTCCACGTTAACTGTACTTTTCTGGTACCCATTCATGTAAACATCAACGAAGCTACAGAGGAGAAACAGTGTATTCCTATGGATCAACTGTTATAATTTATTGAAACTGCATCAGATTTACTCCACTGCCTACTTACACATTCATATTGTACCTCGATCCAACACCCTAAAAAGAGTCTGCATCAAAATCGGCTGGTGAACACTCGGTAGCACTTACTCAATAGTGCTGCGACAGTTCCAAAAACTCCATCCCAGTGCTGGAAAGAACTTTGTGATGGTAGACGTGGCAGACATGCATCGCCTTCGCATTAGTTGTTCTCTTCAGATCGCACAAAATATTCTGGGTTTAGAATCGCACCAGGTGTCAAGTGGAAATATTCCGAAAATGCAAGCAGCAATATCTCCAATTCGTAGAAATACTGTTTAATAAATAAAATATAAAAATTTGCTTGTCTTCGTCTAATTTGGAATGTTTGCTGAGAGCTCTGTAACGTTTGCCACAGTGTTGTGGCAGCAAAGTTGTTGATTTCATGGAACGCAACAAACCAGTCCAGGTGAATTTGGTTGACACACCTGAGGTTCTTTACATGCGACATTTTATCTCATCTCCGATTAAATTATGAAAACTGGAGCGAACTATTTCATGTACCAAAAAGTATCAAGTACTCTGCTTTGACTGCTTTCTTGGCCGACAAAAGGTTCAGGTGATCGTCTTTAGAGTTAGATTAGTAGTGCAACGTGATGGTATCCCCGTTCGGTTATTGAGTTTCTGGCTAGGTCGTGTAATTTGATTACTCACGCTACGTCACCAGTAGAGGTGGCATTAAACGTACAACAAAAATCCCAAGTCTTCTGCTTCGACGAAGGCATCCCGACAGATGACTGATGTCTGTAATCAAATTATGAGACTCCGTGAAAGATTCAGCAAGTGTAAGGTTAGCCACCACCAACAGTATTTCAAGTTATATATAAAAATTTAAAGATTGCGAAATGAACGTTAAGGGTGTCACCCTACAACACTGTAATTCCTGTCGGACTTTCGAGGGAACTCGAGTAACTTCATGCTATCGTCTGGCTAAGCATCCGTATGTGTGCCACCGCGCATGTCAGTGTATTTCGGTGAACAGGCGTTATATTTTCGACCCCAAAAAGGTGCTGGGTTTGCGTAGAAAATTTGCTCTTCAAGCAGCAGCAGCAGCAGAAGAAGAAGAAGAAGGAGATAGTTATGACTAGTTTATGACAATCAACTTGTGAAAAGCCCAGCACCGCATGTTTTACAGTTTGGTTTTACACACATAGCGTTTTCACCTCAACTGTTGGTACCGACATATATTTGAAGACTTGGCCATCGCACAATTTTCTAGACAGTGGCATTGATTTAACCTTTTCCAATTCAGTTGTAGCTCTGTTACCGTAGTGTTATTACGGTTAGAATGTCCGACAAAGTGTGTTCCAAGATACCATCCTGTTCTAAAGAAAATACGGCCTAATGTTCATCACATCCCTCATCTATTACATATGCTCACTTAAGCTGATTGGCTATAACCAAGTTTTACCCTGGACATTGGTTCTGTCATCCCATTACGTAGGGTATACATGTGTACACATACGGTAGCCTCATTGTATTAATTTTACTGTTGACTGGGTGGCGAATTAAATAGCTAATATTAGGTGGCAGAACCATTAAATGAATCGTGTTGCTGAATCAATTGAATATGGTATCGTAGCTTACAGAAGACATAGCTTTACACAAAAGGTTTGCGCTAATTTGAAAAGAATTTCCGTATCGGTGGTTGATGAAATGCGCTACATTGCAGTTGGTTTATAATACCTGACAGTCTTCACTTTCCTTCATAGTTTGGTGGCATAAGCTACTGCCTAGTGACACAAGCTGATCGCGACCATTGTTTCAGATTCCGATTGATGCACACCATTGACGACCCTCCAACGGACTACAAAATCGTCTACTGATTTTTGCGCATGCGGAAAACTTCTGAGTTAGAGGATTCTGTAAAAAAGCAGTTACCTTTGTCTATTCAGCTTGTCTTCCTTTTACCGACACCATTTGTTCATACATAAGGCATTCCAATGTATCAGTGCGGACATGTTTCTACCGCTACACCTACCGTATTTTTCCTTGCCCTAACTTTTTCCACTAACCTAAATTAGCCTCTTTCTCCTCACTGTTTTAGGTGACTTAAATCGGTGACCAGTTACAATGCATGCTCACGCTGAATGCCTGTAACTGTGAGCAAAAGTGAATGGAATACCAGAAGAACGACACGGTCACCGTGGTTTGCTCCAGATGTACAGCAACTAACTGAAGGAACTTGTGAATTTGTTTCGAGTTGATCATCAAAGGTATAGATTGTGCCAGGGTCACCGGAATACAGTATGGTTGCCTAGTTCCTCGAATATACCCTACTGACGGTGTGCTATCGTTTTATAGGACTACAGTTGTTTTTTGTACCGCAAATACGCCTACAATGGGGTAAACTTGTCGTCACAGGTGGGGACTCCATAGCGTTGGGTTTTAGGAAAAGGCACAAATCATCTTTTTTCACTAAAGCAGGGTGTAAATATTCTATTCTCCCTCAAAATCCCCTGTCTCTATTAGTCGCTTGATTAGCTCATTTTGTCTTCCCGGCAACAGTGTAAAGGAAAAGAGAGAGAAGAATTCTTAGGTGTAAAGGTCTATTTTCTGTTCGCGATAGCTTGAACAGCGACCTCTCGTCCAAGTGGTTTTTCATGGGCCGAGTAGCTGCTAACTACAACCACCAAGAGCCTCGCGACCTATATTTGTTTCACTACCACTTCAAGTCCTAAGCGGTTCTTTTATGCAGGATTAAGAATCGTTCTTCTAATCTGAGTTGTCTGGGCGGTCCTTCTTCCTGCAAAGACCTCAAAAAACTTAGAATACGCTCCACTTTGGTAATGCTCGCCATGGTGATTCGGAATGTTAGCGGTCTAGTATTTCAGTGCATTGAACAGTTGCCAACAAAATAACAAAGATGATGGTGTGTGTCGAGGTGGGTGTTGTTGTTCAGTGGGTATAGTTTCTCAGATGCTTTTTTTTCCGAAAGTCAATGTCATTATGTTTTCTACGTTTAGTTGCTATTGATTTCTGTTTAGTTGTTTGTTAGCACTGTATTCCTAGAATTTGTTAGGTAGTGCGGTGATAGAACATGAGATCAATTGTTAGGTTAGAGTTGTTATGTGTTGAACTTCTGTTTCCTCTTAATAAATGGCGCTTTTCCACTTGTTGTTAGTTTGTCCCTGCTTATGGTAGTTTGGTAGCTTGGTGGTGTGTCCTATACTTCCAGACTTTGGATCACTGTTACAAGATGTTAGAGCTACCAGTAGTGTCAGGCTAAGTGTCTTGTGACTTTGTTTGGACTTGTAGAGTGTTACGATCATTTCAGAGTTTACTTCTCAAGGTAGCCTAGTGGGTACTTTGGGTAGATGTTCTGTGTGAGCTGGTATTCATGGTGGATGATACTCATGTTCTGTTAGAGGATTTTTCTGCTATAGATAGCGGCGTTGTATTCGGTCATGGGTGGTTCTTGCGTATGGGCGAGGTTGGTTTTGTATGTCCTGATACGGTGATTGGGATAGTGTTGTTCTGTGCGGTAGGTGAGGTGTGTTTGGGTGAAACGATAGGTGGTGCTATGTTTAGGTTTACGTTTGAGATGATCACAAGTGTTGGTGTTAAGTAATTCTACCTAGCTCATTTCATGCACTTCAGTAAATATTTTTGTGCATTTTAAAGCATTTATTGTTCAATAGCCATGCTTATCTAATCTGTGTTTTAAACTTATCTGTCAACTGTTGTTTCTGTGACGGTGTTTGTACATGCCATGACTGGATATTGTTTCAAGTCAGTGTG